TGTTTTAGCCGCAGTTATTGTTTTGATGGCTTTAGCTTTTAGCTACTGTTCTGCTTGTTTTAGCCTCAGTTATTATTTTGATGGCTTTAGCTTTTAGCTACTGTTTTGTTTGTTTTAGCCTCAGTTATTGTTTTGATGGCTTTAGCTTTTAGCTACTGTTCTGCTTGTTTTAGCCTCAGTTATTATTTTGATGGCTTTAGCTTTTAGCTACTGTTTTGTTTGTTTTAGCCTCAGTTATTGTTTTGATGGCTTTAGCTTTTAGCTACTGTTCTGCTTGTTTTAGCCTCAGTTATTATTTTGATGGCTTTAGCTTTTAGCTACTGTTTTGTTTGTTTTAGCCTCAGTTATTGTTTTGATGGCTTTAGCTTTTAGCTACTGTTCTGCTTGTTTTAGCCTCAGTTATTGTTTTTGATTGTTTTAGCTTTTAGCTACTGTTCTGCTTGTTTTAGCCTCAGTTATTGTTTTTGATTATTTTAGCTTTAAGCTACTGTTCTGTTTGTTTTAGCCTCAATTATTGTTTTTGGTTGTTTTAGCTTTTAGCTTTTAGTTCTGCTTGTTTTAGCCTCGGCTATTGTTTTGATGGTTTTAGCTTTTAGTTACTGTTTAGCTTGATTTAGCCTCAGTTGTTGTTTTGAAGGTTTTATCTTTTAGCTACTGTTCTGTTTGTTTTAGCCTCAGTTATTGTTTTTGATTGTTTTAGCTTTTAGCTACTATTAGTCTTTTTTTAGCCTCAATTATTGTTTTGATGCTTTTAGCTTTTAGCTACTGTTTGGCTTGTTTTAGCCTCAGTTATTGTTTAGAAGGTTTTAACTTTTAGCTACTAATCTGCTTGTTTTAGCCACAGTTATTGTTTTTATTGTTTTAGCTTTTAGGTACTGTTAGTCTTGTTTTAGCCTCAATTATTATTTTGATGATTTTAGCTTCTGGCTGCTGTTCAGCTTGTTTTAGCCTCATTGTTTTGATGCTTTTTGCTTTTAGCTACTAATCTTCTTGTTTTAGCCTCAGTTATTGTTTTGATGGTTTTAACTTTTAGCTACTGTTCAGCTTGTTTTAGCCTCAGTTATTTTTTTGATGGTTTTAGCTTTTAGCTACTAATTTTCTTGTTTTAGCCTCAGTTATTGTTTTGTTGCTTTTAGCTTGTGGCCACTGTTTTAAGCTTGAGGGTCTCACCTTCGGCATGGGGAACTGGCAGGATCCGGAGCAGTAGAAGGCATCGAAGGACTTGGGGGATATAATCCACTCGCTCCAACCGATGTCGGCGAAGTCCACCTTCAGGTAGCGCCGGGCGCAGTTCCTGGGCTCGTTCCACTGCTTCTTGCGGGCCTTTTTAATGGTCTGCTCGTCGAACTGCAGCAGGGGCATGCGCTGGCGCTGATTCTTGCGCGTTTTTTTCCGCGGCCGACGGGGCTGCTTGGGCTCGGACGGCTCGTAGGGGCCGGTCTCGTCCCAGCCGGTGGTCTCGTAGGGGTACTCGGGTCCTGGCAGCTCGTTGTTCTGCAGCGGGAGGAGAACGTTGACGGAGCGCTTGTGTCGCGGCTGCAGATGTTCTCCCTCGGTCTGGTTTTGTTGTCTCAGTTTGTGGGCACCGTGGGACCCCCGCCCCCCCACCGGGCTGTGTCTCTGCAGGGTGGCCACCACGCTCTCGGGCTCTGAGATGGCCGAGTCGTTGGCGTAGACCAGGATGTAGGGCGAGCGGTCCGACAGCAGCTCCTTCCACGGGCGCGGCCCCTGCGAGGCCACGTCGATCCCGATGAGCAGCTCGTCGTGGTGTTTGGCCTGATTGACCACCCGGGTGATGTCCTTCCACTGCCACGATATGAAGTCTCTGTAGAGCGTGGACACGTTGATCCGGAAGTGTCCCAGGCTCCTCAGCTTGTTGTCCACGGAGGCGAAGCTCCAGATGACCATGTGGACGGGGTTGTGTCTGCGGGGGCCGTGGCGGGAGCAGCTTCTGGACCTGGAGCAGCTCTGGGTTTGGTTCTGAAGGTCCCCGATGAAGTAATGAAGCGTGGCTGACAGGACGTCTTCAGACCTGGTGAGGGACGTGAGGTTAAAAACCTGCAGCTCCTTCTTGTTTATAGTTCCTGTGTGGAGGAGAAGAGTTCAGCGTTAAACCAGCGACACACTTCCCGTGTTAGATTAAACAACCAACGTTTTTTAGAAAGTTTTAATCCAAACACTTAAAACTTCTGTATTCAGCCACAACTGATGGATTTCATACAAAACTAGAATAAAGAATTCAATAAAGTTTGTTTTTTACCCAGTTCTGCCAGATCTAGCTTGTAGGTTTGCTAGTAGATGCTAAATAACAAAAACTGAATCAAAACAAGGAAAAAAACATGAAAAAACACATTTTTCAAAATAAAACATCCTGTTTTCAGTGGTTAACTGTGACTAATAAATAATCAAACTCAGGGTCCGCAGGCCAAATGTGGCCTGACACAGAACTTTATGTGGCCTGCGACAGCTTCAAAGACTCATTAATGCCTTTAAAAATGTTGCTTTGACCATAAACTACATTTCCCATAATGCACTCTGATTATTTCACCCACAAAATGACATTGTCCCACCACCAGGTGGAGCTGCAGTTCAAAGGTAGCCAGGTAAAATCTCATTTTCTCTGCATTTTCACCGCTTTTGCTCCAGTTATACTATGAAGTGGGAATTTCCCACTTACAAGTTGTAAATTTAAACTGGAACGCCTCTCCAGTGGGAATTCCCTTTAGGAAAGTGGGAGAGTTCAGAATTCATGACCGCAGCAACTCAGCACAACTCAACAGTGAGTAAAACTCTCTTACTTTTACTTTTAATAGTTTTTCTGTTTTTTATTTCACATTCAGTCAGTCATACTCGTCGTACTTTACAGTGTTTATAAGAGGACGTGTTAAAATGCTGTTTCTATGCAGGAAATACCAGGTAGAGCTCAGTTAGTGTTTGTTAGCGGTGCTCAAGAGCGTGATGTTTTATATTTAGTTTAAGTTAAATAAAAAATATAAACATTTAAGAAACACAGATGCATGTACAAGT